TAGCAAATTTTGCCTATACTAGAAGAAAATAATTTGCATTAAAAAAAAAATGGGGATTAAAATGGGATTAATATTTAAGAGATTAGAGGATAATTGATTGATTTAAGATAATTATTTTTATTAATATATTGTTAATTTTAATTAATTTTTTTGATAGATTGGATATTATAATATTTTATTTAATATTTGAGGTTAGATTAATTCTTACTTTTTTTAAAAAAATGCATTATAAATTATATATTTACTTTAAAATTCGCTTATTTTTTCGATTATTATTCAATTAGAATAGAATACTCACCGGAATCGAAGTCAGCACCTCCAGCATCCAATCCACCTGGATTCCCATACTCTGGTAAAACAAACAATGCGATTAATTAACAAAGGTATCATTATGATTAGAACAGCAATTAATACATACATACAGGAGTTTTTTAAAAATTTAATTGATACAAGCAACATCTTATTTTCATAAAATAAATGTTATAAAAAAATTGCATTACAAAATACAATGAAAAATAAAAGACGCGAATATAAAAATTAATTAAGATGATACAACAATATGATCAAATGAAATATAATCAAAAATCTAGTGCTTTTTTTGTTGCTAATTCGCAATTTTGTTGCTTTATTTGCAATTTTATTGCTTAAGCCGATTCAATAAAAATAGTGACTATGTCAATTTAATTAGCCATCGGGAAAAATAGAATAAAAAACAAAGACTTATCTCTTTAGAATTATTTTATTGTTAATTAATCGCTCCATTGTCAAGTTGGTCGCATCATCCTTAATTCAAAATTATCATTCTTCAATTATGCTGAACTAACATAACACCGTTAAATGTTAATTTTATTAATCTTTCTTATATCATATCTCTCAGCATTATATCTTTCTAATTTTATTGCAAAATCTGATTAAATCCGATTTTGTTGTTCCACCTTCTATCTTTCGAAAATTACTTCCATTTAGGGGAAAAATAATCTACAATTTCTTTCGAAAATATTATGATAATCGTCATAAAATACAGACTTCTCTTTGCAAATTAAAAAAAAAAAGATGATTTTTTGATTTTTTTCGACAAAGCTACGACATATCAAAATTATCTATATATTTGTTCGATTAATGCCAGCGTAAGCATTATCCAATGCGCACCAAGAGAAGGATCAGATTTTGTGCATCGTATTCGTGAAATTTTGAACGAAATTTATCTATGCAATAATTTTGTTGACTAGCAACATGACCGTGTATGCAATTCGATAATTTTTGTGACAATATGTATGCAATTCGATTGTCACTACTCAAAATGATTTACATTTCTTATTGTTAATATTAATATTACTATTCTAATAAATACGATAATTTTCATATGCAACATGATCGTGTATGCAAGTATGATTGTATGTAAAGTGACATGTATACAATAATGTTTGTACGTAATCGCTCTATGTGCAATATGTGTAAAAGTAAAAGTATAGGCAGTCTCCAGTTTAAGTACTCCCCAATTTCTCTACGTAATTAATAACAGACAAGAGATATAATTCTGTTAAATTCTATTATATTTGTATTATGTATTTGTCACGTTTATTCACTAACAGCATAATTATTATAATTGATTTCTGATCAATATTATATATACAATATAATACGAGATGTTATGCAAATGTTATACAATTATTTGTCTTCTGTCAGAAAATGAAATGGTCACTAACACAATCGATATCGCAAGATTCACAGATGCAATTCAAGTGGTCATTTGATTATCTGTGATTAATCAACTTTAAAATTTCAAAAACTATTGATTAAAATAAAAAAATGTACTTTTATGAAGTATTTGTTCGAAAATTTTCTTTCTGATATTCTAATTCTTGAATTTGGAAACACTCTACATATAGAAACAAAATTGTACATAATAGTACATAAGAATTTGTTGCTAATTTATTAGTCTCAACATATTTATATATCCATACACAAAAAAATATATGTATATAGAAATACGCAAATGGCATTAAAATAATGTCTCACTTTGGTATTCTATTCTTTTCAAGGATGAAAAAGATGACCATATAAACATAGATTCAAAAACTCTTCCTTTCCAATATAAATATGTTTTATTTACGATGGAGTATTTTAAAAATCCTTATAACTAACTTTAAAAAATTTCCTTCTGTAACAATACACGTTTCAGAGACTGTCGAAAACGTTCAAAAATTCCTGATATATTTCAAATTTTGTCATATACGGTATGTAATAATCCAATTTTTTAATATTTCCAAACTATCAATAGCGTTATTATCATAAATTCAATTTTTTAGATATCTTTACAAATAAAAATCCAAAGGAGTTAGGTCAGGAAAGCATGCAAGCCGTACAATTAATCCTCTAGCAATACCGATTGGTGTAATTATTATTAATTCATTTCCGAACAGTTCGGCTACAATGAACCAGAGTTCCAGTGTGGATAAATCACATTGCCAACCACGGTATGATTTGTAATAGTGTTGAAAGTTTGGTTTCCAAAACGGAAACCGAACTTTCCGAACTTTGTGTGTAATTTTTATCGTTAAGTATAGATGAAAGAAAGACTGGTCCAATAAAAAAAATCTTATCTTCAATAATTCTAGCCCATATGTTGCAAAAACTGATGTTAGTGTATTAATCAGATTAATCCTAATAGATTAATCATAATATGGGTTTTCATATTCATAAGTATTGATTGTGAAATTTTACAGCGTCTCGCGTAAATTTTGCCTTATCTATATCTGTGAAAAGTATACTTTAAAATGTAGTATACTAATGCACTGTTACAGATACTGACAAAAGATTACTCGTAGTTGATAATCCGCTGGCAGAAATTCTTGTGCTCTCTGTTATAAGGGTATAAACGATTTTCTCATAAAATTTTTCGTGTAGTTTCACAAGAAACATTTGTATTTCTAATGCGATCTATCTCGTGCTGAGTTCTGGATTTTCTTCGATGTGCAAATATCTGCTCTTCAACTCTAAAGATTTGAACATGTCTGCTTCGAATTCGGTTAACTATACTAGATGAGAGAGATCTAATTTCTTTAAGCTAACGATGTATCCAAAAAATTGTACTTTTGACAAAATATCTAAGGAAAAATCTCTTGATAGACATGCCAAGCTTCCGCAGTGTCCCCATCAGCACGTCCATATATAAAATAAATATCTGTCGATTCGAAATTAGAATAAACCATCCTGATAACATTGTCTTAACTAACTAAAACGTTTAAACACAAATTGATTTATTACAATATATGCTGTCTTCAATATCAGGATGCTTTACTACATTATATATTTCTAACAGAAAAAAATATTAACAACAATATTCATAATTTTATGTAACAGCTATTTATAAAAAATTTCAATTAAACAAAACGGTACTTATATATCGGAAAAAAAAGACTTATGTTTATATGACATTTTTTTCCTTTTCTCATCCTTAAAAAAAGTAAAATACGCTATCAAGAATCACTATATTTAAATATCATTCTGCGTGCGTGCGTGCGTGCGTGCGTGCGTGCGTCGTCGTGCGTGCGTGCGTGC